CAGCACCGGGGCTGAATTAGAGACCTGGCTCTTGAACAGTCTGAACTGGCTGCCCCCCAGCCCCCTCTACTTCAGTCCGAGTGGAGTCAGCACCTCAGCTACTGAGGAATCCAGTCAGGCACCCCAATGCCCCAGCACAAAGCCCCAGCCACCTCGTGCTCCACAAGTGCTGCCATACCCAACCGACCTTCGCCATGTTCTCCCACTCTGAATCAGGCAGGTCCAGCCTTCTAGGAGGCAGCTGCTGGTTGTGTCAGACCCTCTTCCAGATGCAGCTCACAGCCTTCTCCAAATTATCCCAGCCGCTCACTCTCCAAGAAGCACAACCCCGTTTCTGTGTGGAAAGCCTTTGGAAAAATTTCCAGGCCTTCCAAGGCATCGCAAAACTGGGTGCGTTTCCTAGGCTCCAAATGGTGCTGTAAAGGAGAGTGATGGAGAATTGAAGGCACATGTATCTTGTGATACAGGAAGTGGTTTTGCCCAGTGGGGTGCCACAAGGTTCCCTCTTAGGCCCAGTACTCTTCAATAGCTTCACTAACGACATAGATGAGGGAATAGAAGGGGAACTTACCAAATTTGCAGATGATAGTAATTAGCAGGAATAGCTAACACCCAAAAAGATAGGCTCAAGATCCAGATGGATCTTGATAGACTAGAACACTGAGCTGTATCTAACAAAATGAAATTCAATGTAGAGAAAAGTAAAGTCCTACACTTAGGCAAGAAAAACCAAAAGTACACATAGATTGGGTGAATCCAGGTTCAATAGCAGTAACTGTGAGAGGGACTGTAACAGTTACAGTCTTAGTGGACAACCAGCTAAACATGAGCCAGTAGTGTGCAGCAGCAGCAGCCAAAAAAGCTAATGAAATCCTAAGTTGCATTAACAGAGGGATACAATCGAGATCAAGTGAGGTACTAATACCACTCTATAAAGCCTTATAAAGCCTTATACCACACCTAGAGTACTGCATCCAGTTTTGATCACACTATAAAAAAGATGTTGAGACTCTAGAAAGAGTGCAGAGAAGAGCAACCAGGATGATTAGGAGACTAAAACGTACAAAGAACCATTACAGGATCTGGGCATGGCTAGTCTAGTGAAGAGAAGGACAGGGGAAACATGATAGCAATCTTCCAAGATTTGAGGGGCTGCTACAGAGAGGAAAGGGTCAAAGTATTTTCCAAAGCACCAAAAGGCCAAACAAGGAATAATGGATGGAAACTGAACAAGGAGAGATTTAACTTGGAAGTAAGGAGAAACTTTCTGACAGTGAGGACAATCAACCAAGGAACAGCTTTGCCCTTGGAAGTTGTGGGAGCGCCATCACTTGAGACTTTCAAGAGATTGGACTGCCATTTGGCAGAAATGGTGTAGGGTCTCCTGCTTGGGCAGGGAGTTGGACTAGATGACCAACAAGGACCCTTCCAACTCTGATTGTCTGTTATCCAGTGGGAAAGAGCTGTTGTCTCAGGGAGCCATTTGTAGAAGCTGAGGGAACCCAGCCGTATACATCCAGGACCCTGATGCAAAGGGGCATGTGGTGCACTCTAGCCCAGCGTTTCTCAACTTTGGCAACTTCAGTTCCCAGGATTCCCCCAGCCAGCACGGCAGTTGAAATCCAACAGCTCTTAAAAGTTGCCAAGGTTAAGAAACACTGCTCTAGCCTGTTTAAGTAGAAAACCAGCCTTGTCTAGCCCAGGAGTGTGACACAAAGGGGCATTTCAGCACACTCTAGTTTACCCCGTTAAAGCTGCTTTTATTTCCACACACGAAGCCAGCCCCACTATGGCCCAGCAGGCAGGCCAGGCATATTTCAACAGCAACAGGAGCAACAATAGGGCAGCAGACCACAGGGTGACATGGGTCTTTGAGTGCAGGTTAGCAAAGGCAATTTGGAGTGGAAGAGCTATATGGTGGAGACACTGGGCCAGAATCAGGAGACCGGGAGTTCTAGTCCTGTCTTAAGCATAATGACTTTGAGCCAATTGTACCTTCTCTGTCCTAGGGAGCAGGCAATGGCAAACCACTTCCAAAATCTTTCGAAGAAAACTGCAGGGTTACACTCCAGGCCATCGTATGGACTCCACAATGACTTGAAGGCACAGACAGAAAATCAAAAAAAATTACTGCACCGGTGTGTGGTTTGCCAATTGCACAGTGGTAGATAGGACAGTGCTCCAGAAGGTTAACGTCATTGCTCAGATCATTGGTTGCCCTCTCCTCTCTTTGGAAGAGCTTTATAGCTCCCGTTGCCCTAAGAAAGTTCAAAACATTCTCAAAGATCCATCTCATACTGGGCACCCTTTTTTTTTAACTATTACCATCTGGCAGACGGTACAGGACAGTAAAAACAAGGACAAATAGGCTGAAAAACAGCTTCTATCCCAGGGCAGTAGCTCTGTTGAATTCTACTGTATAGTACACTGAAGATGGTATTTAATTTTGTTGTACGATGTGCAATGATAATAAAGTAAACCAAACCAAACCAAAAGTTCCAACATTTCTTGCGGTTCTCTGAATTTAGGGGAATTAGCAACCAAGCACAGAATGTCTTTTCTGCAGTCATTTAACCAGTTGTTTCACCTTGCATTCCAGGAAGGCAACACAAAAGTTGCTGCACAGGTACTCCTCGACTTACAACAACTCATTTAGTGACCGTTCGAACTTAACAATAGCACTGAAGAAAGTGGCTTATGACTGTTTTTCACACCTACGGCCATTGCAGCATCCCCATGGTCACGTGATCGAAATTCAAAGGTTTGGCGAATTGATTTATATTTATGATGGTTGCAGTGTCCCAGGGTCATGTGACCACCTTTTGTGACTGAACGGGGAAGCCAGATTCACTTAACAACCATGTTACTAACAACTGCCATGTTACTAACAAGTGTGTCAAGAAAGGTCGTGAAATGGGGCAAACTCTCTTATCAACTGTCTCCCTGAGCAACATAAATTTGGCACTTAATTGTGGCCATAAGTCAAGGACTACCTGGTCTGTGTGAAATTTGAATTTAATGGGGCCCCTCAGTCAGAGGCTACTTAGGCAGTATCTAGGGATTACATGGAAAAAGCCATGCAGGATCATTTTAAGATTGGAGAGCTCCAAAAAAGGTGCTTATGACAGACCTGAGCTATCAATTATCCCTAGAGATTCGTGCCATCCCCTTTCTCTTTCAATCTGAATTCCTAACCCAATTGAACCCTACTTTTACTATGTTTATAAATAACTCAACGTAGCAAACATATCTAATACTCTTTCCTTCTATTTTCCCCACAACTACTACCCTGTGAATTGAGTTGACAGAGAGATACTGGCCCAGAATCACCCAGTTGGTTTTCATTGCTAAGTTGAGACCAGAACTCAGTCTCCCAAGTTGCTAGTCAGGTATCTTAATCATAGACCAAACTAGCCTCTAGTGTTTTTTTTTTCCTCCTACTGTCAACAGCCCAGGAGAGATGCATTTATGAAATCATGGAACAAATTCGTTTATACAATTCGGAAAACTATAAAACCAGTGGGAATGTGAGGGTTTGGGCAATGTACATTAGGTTTACAAAAAAAAAACCCATGCAGTTTGGAAGTATGTAGGCCTTTGCATGTACCTAACACAGCAGCCCTAAGCAGATCCCCTCTGAAGAAATTGCAGGAACTTCATTCCTTGAAGATGTCAAACAAAAATTAAAAATTTCCTCTTCCACTCACTTCTCTTTTCTTTAGCTATGCAGTGTGACTTTTCTTTTTGTTCCACCTCCCATGGCTGCCTCGTCACATCCAGCCTGACTTCTCTGGTTTCTTTTTTTCTTTGTCTTTCTCTTTTTTTTCCTTCCTTCCTTCCTTCCTTCCTTCCTTCCTTCCTTTTCTTCCTTCCTTCCATTCATTCATTCATTCATTCACTGCTCTCATTCATTCATTCATTCACTGTTCACCTTACCATAAGGTAATTCTGAATGGCTTACAGACATAAAAATACATCTACACGAAAGCCTGATTAAATTAAAACCAAAGATTAAAGTCAAGGACACCTGGGGAGGGAGGGCACAGGGGAGGGCAGGAGTTAACAGCAGAGAAGGCCCACCTCCTGGGCCCTGCCAATCAAGCTGACAGGACTCCCAGCATGCCTCTGCTGGCCCAAGAGGGACAGGTCAATCCCAGTGGGGTGAGATTGTCCCTCAAAGTAACCTGGACCCACATTATGGAAGGCTTTAAAATGATCACCAAGGCCTTAAATTACAGCTGGAAGAAACTGGCAACCAACGTAGCTCGTGGCACAATGGTGTTACAGAGGCCATTTTGGGGGGGTTCCCAAAAACTGTCCGTGCCGTTGCACTTTGCACCAGCTGTAGCCTCTGAATGCTCTTCGCGGGTACCCCATGTAGAGTGCATTGCGATAGTCCAGCTGTGAGATGACTAGGGACTGAACCACGGAGTGATCACACCCCCAGCACTAAAGCTGGTAACCAACTTTCAAAGAGATTCTGCGTATGCCCCCCATGTCTGAGAATATGTGCAGAAAGTGTAAGAGGAGTAAGACAATAGTGCGTTTTCACTAACTCGCCTGTTCTCTTTTCTCCACATGCTAACTCTCCTGAGTGGGTCATCCTATGAAAAATTAGCCCATTGATCCATCTTCGGTTCTCTCCACATTTCAGGGCTTATACCTTTCCTTGGGGACATGGTGGCTTAGTGGTTAAGACGCTGAGCTTGTCGATCAGAAAGGTCAGCAGTTTGAATCCCTAGCACCGCGTCATGGAGTGAGCTCCCGTGACTTGTCCCAGCTTCAGCCAACCTAGCAGTTCGAAAGCGTGTAAAAATACAAGTAGAAAAATAGGGACCACCTTTAGTGGGAAGGTAGCAGTGTTCCGTGCGCCTTCGGCATTTAGTTATGCCGGCCACATGACCACGGAGACGTCTTCAGACAGCGCTGGCTCTTCAGCTTTGTAATGGAGACGAGCACCACCCCCTAGAGCCAGAAACGACCAGCATGGATGCGCAAGGGGAACCTTTACCTGTTACCTTTTCTTGTGTGTGGCTGCTTGGATGGTAAGATTCAGGCTCAAGAAAAACATCTTTGTATATTCTGTGCATTAATAAGCTGCCTGCCACGTCTGGATCCTTGGATGATCAATATGTTGACTATTACAAATAAAGCTCAGTCTATAGATGTGTGTAGTTTTTCCTGTGTGCATCCTTTTATGAAAGATGGGCACCCTATACTCAGTCAAGCTTGATCCACGTTCCATGCATTTCTAATTTTCCTGCCTGCACACATCCGACAACTAAAGGTGCTGCAGTCATTAAGGTTTCTTCACACTCAAGGCATATCTATATGTTCCCTCCGGCGTGGATCCTTTGGTGACGCGTAGCACTTGTCTTGTCATAAAAGCTCTTTCCACATTCCACGCATTTATAAGGTCTCTCCCCTGTGTGGATCCTTTCATGCGCAATGAGATACCCTTTCCGAGTAAAGCCCTTTCCGCATTCCGTGCATTTATACGGTCTCTCCCCTCTGTGGATTCTTTCGTGACAATTAAGTTGTCCTTTCTGGATAAATCTCTTTCCACATTCCATGCATTGATATGGCCTCTCCCCCGTGTGGATCCTTTCGTGAGAATTAAGTGGCCCTTTCTGAGTGAAGCTCTTTCCACACTCCAGGCATTTATAGGGTCTTTCCCCTGTGTGGATCCTTTGGTGGCGAGTGACTTCTTTCTTCTCAGAAAAGCTCTTTCCGCACTCGGTGCATTTATATGGCCTCTCCCCTGTGTGGATCTTGTTATGAGAACTGAGGTGGCCTTTCTGGGTAAAGCTTTTTCCACACACCGTGCATTTGTGTGGTCTCTCTCCAGTGTGGATCCTTTGGTGGAGAATAAGTTTACTCTTGCTAATGAATCTCTTTCCACACTCCATGCACAGTTTCGTCTCTCCGCTCCGACTGGAACTCCTCACAGATTTTACAAAGGTATGTGGTTTGCTTTTGCTGTATAGTTCCTTTCGTAAAGTAAAAGAGAAGGAATGACTGACATATTTTTCATACATTGCATACAGTTTCTCTTCAGTCTGGTTTATGCCACATTCATGTAAATCAAATTGATTTTTCTCTTTTTTCCCATAGTTTTCCTTTTTCTTTCCTTCCAGGTCTTGCTGGGACAGGAAGCTAGGGATTCCAACAGCAACAGAAGTGGACGACTTCTCCCCTCCATCCTCTGAGTGGTTTCTCTCTTGTCTTCTTCTGTCCTCTTCATGGCCAAATATCATTTCCTCAACTTCACTCTTCTCTGTCTTTAATTTTGCTTGCTTGCTATTCTCATTTTCCAGCCCATCACCTCCTTGGAAAAAATAAAAGAAATATTTATCTTACAATTAGAATTATAAGGGGGTGGGGAGTTGTCCACCTCTCAAAAACATTTGTTCTAGATTTGGTACCAGCTATGTAGCTAAGTTGTGAAGGCTGCAAATTGTTATCTAGGACAGGGGTCCCTAACCACCGGGCCGCGGACCAGTACCGGTCCGTGGATCATTTGGTACCGGGCCGCAAAGAAAATAAAAATAAAATAAAAATGGCGGCTTTCTTCGCCTTCGGTGAATGCTGCTGGGATCAGGGATCAAGGACACAAATGAAAGAAGGGGACGGAGGAAGCAACCAAAGCCTGTCCTGCTCTCCGGCTCAGCGGCTTTGGTTTCCTCCCGCCTCGTTCCTCTCTCAGTCGCTCTCTCGCTCCTCCACCAGCCCAGGAAGAAACTGCTTCAAAGAAGCCAGCAGGGTGGCTTTTCCTGTTGGCGCAGCTCCTCCGAAGCGCCCGTTCACCCCCACCCCGCCACCCGCGGTTCAATCCAGTGCTCCGTTCTGCCTGGGGACCACTGATCTAGGACATCCTGATGGGATACAAAGAATTTTTCGGCTGAGAAATATATTAACACATCGGTGCTGATTGGTCAATCTCTTCAGCCACTGCCATGGAACGTCTAGGATTCTAGGACATACTCAGTGTCTATGGTGAGTATTTCTGACACGGCCTTAAGGAGGGAGGATCACCTTAAGGATCTGAGTATAAAGAGCTAGTCATTCTCCACTGAACAAAACCCCCACCAATGAATAGAAGCCAGAGCAAAGCCTGACCTTACCTAGAGCAGCCATATTCTTCAAAATTTCCCACATGACTTCTCTGCACAAGGTCTTCTGGCCAGAATCTAGCAGCTCCCACTCCTCCAGTGTGAAGTCCACAGTCACCTCCTCAAATGGACCAGATCCCTGATAAGAGAAAGAAAATGTTCCTTGGCAGACATTACCAGGAAAGACTTGTATGTTTCGTCTCTTACTGCACAAAATGGGAAGAGGTTCACAAAGAACTAAACGGACATTTTCTTGCCAGAAACAGATTTATGCCTGCATCTCCACGTAGTCTGGGAAGCTATAGCTCCACAAATCGTGGTTTAGGTGCACCCAGGCTGTAGAAAGGTAACACAATCACCACTGCAGAGTTTCCCATTGGGCCAGAATAACTCATCAGCTAGAAATTTTTCTAGCCTATTTCAAAATGTTGGAAATGAGCCTAGAAATCCCAAGTCACTTAGCTAACAATCTTACTGCTGCAGCCATTTTGCATTCACTTAGGGCTTTTATCCTCATGGGATTCATGCTTAAGTCCATATGCAGTTTTTAATCTTACTCCTATTGTTTGATTTCATGGGCTTCATTTCCAACTAGTTTTCAGCATTCTTCTGAAAAGTATTAAACTCTTTCCACCAAACACATTTTTCTAATAATTTCTAATTTTCAAATTGTCTAATACAATGAAGCCTACAATTTTTTTCTTGTTTGCAACTCTAGAACAACCTTGAATGCTGAGTGTGATTCAGCAGGACATTCTAGGGGGGACACTGAGTTCAAATGGTCACAGATTCAGCATTTGATGGTAAATGCAGCTTATGAACTGATGGAGTTTGTATTCCACTGCTCTCAGAAGAAACCTGCACTTACCTGGCAAGGAGGCCCGAGTTGGATCCTCCCAAAAAGCAGGTCCTGAGAAGGGCCGGATGGAGCTTCTCTTTCCTGAAGCTCTGTGGAGATCTCCCCAGTGAATGGCTCCTGCACCTGACAGAAGAACCTGGTTTACGATCCATTTCAGAGAACCATAACCATATTAGCTTGCTTGCCTTACTTTTTTGCCTCTGTACCTGTATTTCCCCAACCTAACACTCTAGGTAATAAAGTCAGAAATATAGGAGTGATTGGGAATTAATAATTTGAATATCATCAGCTGACACTGGAAAAAGTGTCCCAATTAATTCCTGCACCAGAGGAAAGAAAAAGAGATGTTGGAGAAGAAATTGTGACCACATCCTCAAATTCAGAGTGTGGGTGGTTGAAATAAGGGTAGAATTCTAAGTTTTGTCTCCAAAGAGGAAAGAAGCATTTCAAGAAACAATAAGATTCAAAGAAGACATTAATTCTCCAAATACTGGCAGTCAGCAGGCTAATTCTGCTGCTGACTGCCGACTTGCAAGCGGTTCTGCAGTTCGATCCTGACCTGATCCTGGCTCAAGATTGACAGCTTTCAATCTGCCAGTCTTATTAGCGGTGCATTGCAGGCATTGTGAAAGATCCCTGATTCTTCGCCCCCACCCCAGTAGTTGCTAGGATGAGACGACCCCCTCCCCCTTCCTCACCTGCCCCTTTCCGGGCTCTTCCCTCTGGGCTTGGCTGAGCAGGAAGCCTTCGGCCAGGGCCACAGCCTGGGAACAGCTCTCGGCTCCGCACTCCCTCACCCAGCTGGCCATCTCCGGGGGCAGCAGGGCCAGCAGCTGCTCCAGCACCACCAGGTCCAGCATCTCCCCTTTGCTGCTCCTCTCCGGCCGCAGCCACTGACGGCACAGCCGGTGCAGGCGGCTGCAAAGCTCCCGGGGCCCCTCGGCCTCCTGGCGGCAGCGATCGAGCCCACGGAAGCGCCGGCGGTGGATCTCTGGGCTGAAGAAGGCGCCCTCCATGATCCCTGGGAGACCTCTGTGCCTGAATGGGTTTTCTGCTCGAGGGGAGACAAAACAAGGCCAAGGCACTCCGAGGTGGCCTAACCAGACCCCTCCGCCCCGACTGCCCGGTTTCCAGGAGGGGAGCAAACGGGGCTCGGCTGCTTCAGACCTTCGGCGCCTGGGAAGAGCAGCGAAAAATCGCCCCGCCGCGTTTTCCCCTCGAACACTTGGCTTGGAGAGCCTCGATCAACGAGTGCTCCTTCCTAGAGGGGCAAAACGCTTCCAGGGGGCTCTCGTTTCCTACCGCTGGGCTACAGAGTTTTTTTTTTCCAGGGAAACACCCCTCCGCCGCATTCTTCGCTGGGCGAGTACCCACAACGGTCTTGTGCGCATGCTCCTTTCCTGCCCAAGGACGTTAGAAAACTGGTCAGGGTTCGCATTTTGATTGTGTGTGGAGGGTGGTGGGAAAGAGAAGGTGGGCAGAGAGGGTTCGTGTTTGCTTGTGTGTGTGTATGTATGTATGTATGTATGCATGTATCCATGTATGTGTATGTAGGTATGTATGCATG